GCAGAAATTCACAGCAACAACAAAAACAACGCACAGCAGCAGCAGCAAGCAATGCCGCATCATCGACAACGCCGCAGCGGCATCGTCGGCCCGGAATTGACTCGCATCGAACGCATTCATATACGCCATCATCGCAGCACAAGGCAAACGCTCTACGAGAAGATTGAAAAGTATCTGGACAAGTAAGTGACACACTCATTCACTGGCTGTGCACAGCGATGCATGTAAGACTTTTACATGTTTACTTTTTATTCGTTTCCATTCCCACATCCGCTCGCTCTTATCGCCACTCAATGGTGTGACATGTCGTAAACGTGCTGTTTGAAATAACGATACATTTGCAAATATAGAATTTCATATGGGAAGACTTGAAAGTGTGTGTGTGTGTTCGTGTGTGTGGAATCTGCCGTACATACATGTATTAGATGGAGAAAAATTGCAATAACTTCGTGTAGCAAGGTAAAGACAGCAACGAGATTGCTTTCAAGTCGATACTTGGCGTTGAGGTGATTTGTTTGATCTGTATGCATCGCAGTTGCATAGCTTTTAAAGTCATGACTTTCACGCTATTAGAATAAACAGAAGAAATTTGTGTCCTACTTATGAGTTCGTAACGGTTAAAACTACATCAAAGCGGACGTATTTATTTAAGTTTAAAGAAGTTCCTGTAACTACTGCAGTTTAGTTAGACGAACAAAAATAGTCCATGGTCCTGAAATGCGATAGAGTATGGTCGTTCTTATGGGTACATTTGCAGTTACGGTTGCACGATGGGTAACCAACCTATCTATGGAGCCTTCACTCGCGGCTGTAAGAGAGGGAGGTTTTGTGGGGCTGCCGCCTTATTCGGGTTAGAGGCTCACAAAGCAGCTGCTAGCGTTCGTCTGTCTTGGAGCATGCGCCTCGCTATACAAACGTGTGCACCAAAATTGCGGCAGGTTGTGGATTTGCGCTGAGTTAGAGGACTGTTTCCTAAAACATAGTACCAATGACGCAGACCACGACAAACTTTTAAAGTGCTATGATTTGAGGGCATGCTGGAACATGCAGACCCTTTAGGCTGAACCTGCCTCCGCCCAGCTGGCTGATCCCCTCGCAAAGGCATGACATGACTAGCAATTTTGAGGCTGTAAAACACCAAAGCTACCGGGTATGTTGGCTTGGTAGCTAAGTATGTCGGCGATGGGTTGATAAGGTGCATACATCAACTCCAATCCACAAGAAAGTTGGCCCTGCGATATGCGCCAACTACCGCGGGAATTAGCTTTCTTAGCATCAGATAAATGGTATCGAGGGTATTCCGCGAAAGGCTTCAGCGAACTGATTTTGCCTTGAGCAGCACCTCTAACTTCGTCAGAATTGAGAAGGTAGCAATTTGGTACTAAAAAGGTACTTCAGACAGGGTGACTCTCTGTGGATATGCGGGACGTTTTGCCCTCTAGTTGCGAGCTTACCATCCTACCACAGTTTTATCTACTTGCAAGTCTCTAGGCTCTAACGGACCTGAAACACATTGTTGAAAACCACTGCTAAGTCCAGGAAAGACACTAATGCAAATTCCTTTATTTATGGCAATCGCACAATCTTCGAGAGTAAAGAGTGGTGGGCAGCCTACAGGGATCTTCTTTTGCTTAAGGCATTCTCTGCATTATATAGACTGGGTCATTCGATTATTTTATTTATGTCTCTAGAAGTATT